GAGCGATGCTCTCGAAAACGGCATGTCAGCTTTTCGAAGTCTTACTATTCTACTATCGATGCCAAAATACAATGTACCGGGTTATTTTTTGAATAGCTTTTGATAGGAAAGAGATAGAGAGCTACGGTTGCCGTCGTTGTGCAGCCAAGGCTTTAAGACAGGCTTTTGTAAGCAAAGACGTTCCTTGAAAAAGTTTCAGAAACCGTAGATAGTCCAAAGTGTCTTCTACAAAATGGGATCCAAGCGACCTCTTACTTTTGCTTGTTTTTTGAAGGAGAAGAGTTTCTCCGAACCATAAGGATCGGGTTTTCTCTCGATCTAGTAAACTCAAAATAACATGGCTCACACACAACCGATGCTCCTGGTCATTGTGGCAATGTTTGTTTTCTTAGGAAAATTAAAATAACTTTGAGTGATGAGATTTTGTAAAAATAAGGTTTTGGGCTTGGGATCTCTGTCTCTTTCCTATCAAAATTTATTCAAAAACTAACCAGGTACATTGTATTTTGGTGTCGATAGTACATTCTATTCGAGTAGATCTATGAAAAGTCCAATTTTGATCTGCTCAGACAATTTTTTTGGAACAAATTTTTCAGAAAGCTTTGGCAAAACCTGAACTTATCAATAGCTTTTGGGAGTGTGGAGAACAGTAAAGTATGCAGTATTTCTGACGTCGAACACAAAAACAAGTCATTAATAAAAACGGTGTTTCGATATCCTGAGTCTTCTAAAACCAGAAAAATCATACAACAGATAACTTTTCGTGTTGCACATAATGAGATTAATAAGATCTTGCCAAGTTTTTCTTCATTTAAAAAGTGGACGGTGATGGGTGGAAACATCCATATTAAAAAACCGTCCATGAAAAAATTCGAAATCATATCCAGGCGCCCATTCTGTGAATCTGTAATCCTATTCTTGTCTACCTTCTAGAAAAAGTCATGTTGAAACGCTTTTCAATAGTGCAAGTACGCGCGGTTTTTTCATAGTAACGTGTTAAAATTCCACACATTACTAGATAGTATATAAAAATAAAAGAAATGACCGATGCTACCAAACTAGTTGTTGCTCAGATTTTTATCCAACTTTCTGCCCTGATAATACTTATCATACTACCATTTTTCTCTGTTTTATGTAAAACTTACCAGGTTTGAGTTAATCAACAGTTTTCGCACAATAGAATTTCTAAGAAAACAAACACTAATCATCAAGACTAGAAACTATAATTTTCATCTAGTGTAGATAAAGAGAAACGACATTTGATCAGAATCACAAAAGAAAACAGTGATTAAAGAGCATTATGCGAAGTAATTCTAGTTTAGTATATAGAAAACCACAAATATTTGAGGCAGGTTAGTCAAAAGAACGCAATATTTAAAAATATCTTCTTTCATGTATTTCTCTACAAAAAAATGTTATCAAAAAATAACGCTAACAGGCTTCTTAATGAATATTTTACAGAATCTGGATCAGGAAGACATTTTTTGGCTAATTCGCAAAATAAAAAACTTAAAATAACAAAATTTATTCTCGAAATAGACATTAATTTTTTAACATTTAAAATATGTCGACAGTAAAATAAACTATACTTACGCCGAAGAATTTGGGTCTCCGGTTTGTGTCAAAAAACAAGAAAATCACAAACAGTTAGAAGATTCTGAGTGAAATTGTGATAACGCACTTTGACCAATTTGTTGTAGATTCGCAGACATTATATTTGTTTCACTGATTTTCATACTGTTTTACAATTCATTTTCTCCACTTTCGATTGCTACATAAAAGTGTTATTCAATATGTCTTGAGTAGAATACGCGCTGGGCAAACAAAATTTGACGATTCACAAAACAAGACGTCATCGATAGAAAAATCCTCTTGTTATCAATAATGTAGCGTGTTAAAACTATTTGCCATATGTATGTGACCCGAAAGACAAAAATATGCTCTAAAAAAATAGTCTTCTTTTTTTTTCTCTAGGATAAAATGTATTTTTATTATACAATAAGAGAAAAAACATTTGAATTGTACACACGAAAAACTTTTCATATTTTTTTTCGTATGACTTATTCAGTGTAGGTTTTAATAAAACCTGGAAAAAGGTTCGTATGCTCTAGCCAAAACATATTAAATAATACTTTTATATATCAATCGAAAGCGGCGAAAATGGATCACAAAACAATATAGCAATACCAATGGGAAAAATATGATGTCTGTACATCTAAATCAAATTAGACGCACTGTTTTATCACATTTTTACCCGGTATCATCTATCTCTTTTAACCATTTTCTAGTGAATAATGTATTGTTAGACATCCCATAGACTTCTTGTTTATCCGAAACTCTGTATAAACAAGCATTTGAATTCTGCTACATCAGTCAAAGAACCGAATTTCAACGGACGTATAGGCATTTGACATAAAACGTCTGTATTGAGAATGTTAAATAGAGAAAATGATATCAGACAATGCGATAAAAATATTAAGAAAACAAAATACTACACACATTCCCAAATAAAAAAGATCTCAAAATTAAGAAAGTCACAAAGCTTACACTAAAAATATAACTGTTAAAAATAATTATTACATGTGCATTTTTCATCACTAAAATGATGTATTATTGTTGCACAATTGAAGATGTTTGAATGTAAAAGTATGAAAAAACACAAAAAAAAAACATTTTTAGCCAAGGCTAAATCATAGCATTTTTCGGTACTAGATATCAGGCAGTTTTAAACAAAAGGGAAATTTAAAATTGACAACAAGAAGCATGGAATATAATTTTCTTTCCCTATAAGAGAAGCAGACAACATTTTAATCATTATTTATTCGGTTCTTCAAAGTTAACTTACCTTTTTTCAAATGTTCTATAGTAGTAGTTGCAGTCAACATTAAACTACAGGATTTGTTTAAAACTAACTTGATCTAATAAATTTAATGTGTTATCATATTGATCGATTTATTATGAATGTCTCATAATAAATGACAGACGCGTTTATTTGCAGACGCGTGATTTATTATGAATGTCTCATTTTTGAACAATATGATTTGATTCAAGTGCTGGTTTGAAATGATGTTGTTGCATTCATTAAAAACATATTCAAAAAGGATTTTATCTGTATTAAATAAGATAAAAGCACTTTCAATATGACATTTTGAAACATTTCTCCTAAAACAAGCAGAAAAAACCGTCAAGTTAGTTCAAGAAAGATGAATACAAATCCCTATAAATTTGTTCCTATATTTATAAAGAGACGAGCAAATCTTTCTAGAATAGATACATCTATGAGACATTTCAGACTAGCAGATCTATTTTTCTCAAGTAAACATAGGTCTTTTTACATATAACAAGGGAAGATCTACAAATTTTAGATCACAAGTATCTGATCGCTTCTTTGATCGGACACAGTTTTATTGTGAATAATTTATGAAGGAAACTATAAATATGAGATCTCGTTCTGCTGTTAGCCACTTTTAGAAAAATACCTAGAAAATTTTTGTCTTCAGACGTCTGTCACGACCTATCGAAATTATCCATTCAGTGGGTAACAGTTTGCACATGGTATTAATTACATATATGCACAAATTAGTAGAGCTAACTGATATTTGTTCGCCGAGCTATAATATTATTAATTTATTTTGCTGAAATGCTCATCTTGTATACCGAATATTCTACAACTCCGTGAAAAAAAAACTTGTTCGCTAGTTCTAATAAATTGTGTATATATACAAATCGACATTCTATATAAACTAGGGCTGTTCGAAGATGTGAATTCGAAAATTTATGACAGATCTTTAAAGATTTGAATTTTCCAAAGTTGACTAGTATGAGTAGTAGTTCAGCCTATTTACGATTATCTGACTTTATCTTGAGAACTCTACGCTTACCTGTTTCTGAAGTATCAAACTCTGATAATCCATAATTTTCGATATGAGTTTGTTTGTAAGAGCTTAAGTAGTACTTAACTTCATACACAAATAAAGCGCAAAAAAATTATGCGCATTTACTACAAGTTAGATGGTACAAGTATAACTTTTAAACAATCCTAAAAACCGTTTTTGTCACTGTGTCTATATTTATTAATTCCTTCTTTTTTTTCTGCTTTTCTATTGAAACGGTACAACAAAACGAAATGATGAAAGAGTACAACAATCAACAAACTAAAAATGTCTGTGACACATGCAAAAGTAGTATTCAATGAAAAATAGTATTTATTTGTCATTTTAGTTGAGAAACTGAGAGTAAAACACACACACACGCATGCACTCAGTATACAAGCACTCACACAAATATTTTAGTTTGTACATGTGGACGGAAAAATAAAAAAATGAAAAGAGAAAACAAAAGATCAGTACCGATGTTAATCTATTGCTTGTCATGAAGGGGAATAAACGATTTTGTAAAGGGTGATTTATATTGAATTTGACATTTTTCAAATATTTGACGACCAAAACCTAATTAAATGAAGAGAAAAGTGTACAATTATCTATCGTGTAAAAGATACAATATTCACTCCTCAGGTTTTTTTATACTTACCTAAATCGCACAAATATAAACTTCCAACATTTTTTGACATGTGTAACGGTAGTACAGGTAATAGTGACCATTTACATCCAATAGCTCCACCATCCATAGGCGGATCAATTCCAATAATATTTGCTTGTAAACGATTTGAATACGAGACAAGATCGCGATACCAAATTTTTGCAAATAATAATTGATCATTGGTACTATCAAGGCCATTCAAGAGTAAATCAACGGGTGCGTGAGGAAGATCTAAAGTTAATTACATAATAATATAAATTCATTCAAAAAGAAAAACTGAAGAAAATATTTCGGTTTGTAGTACCGTTGAAACAAGTTTTCTCAAGTAACACTTTACGGCGTAGCCAGCTAACTCTGTTACCGTACCAGAATTCCGTAACGGCTTTTTATCATTTTGTTTTGCCTACAATTCCTAAACTGACTACTGAAGAGTGTCGCGGGACATCTAAAATTGAAGAGAAAAGTCTGATTAACATTTTAACACGTTTTCCAGCCTTACAACAAGTATCGTTAAGAAGCTGTAACCTAAACATTGGACACTAGGTTTTTAATTTTTTCGAATTTAATTTTTGCAAAACTAGTGTCTAATGTTTAGGTTACAGCTTCTTAACGATACTTGTTGCAAGGCTGAAAACATGTTAAAATGTTAGTCAGACTTTTCTCTTCAATTTAAGATATTCCGTAACACTTTCCAGTAGTTTAACAAGTGTAGGCAAAACTAAATGATGAAAAGCTGTTACGGAATTCTGTTACAGTAGCAGAGTTAGCTGGCCACGACTTTTATATTTGTCTTCAAAAGTCTGATATAAGTCAAAGACTTACTATTAACATTATTGGTTAAAATTCCTTGAGTTGTTTTAAATAATTGTAATTCTTTATAAGCGAGAGATGTTTGTTGAAGACCATCGGGCATATATAAATAAACTTGAACATTTCGTGTGGCTAATAATCGAGCGCAACATATTGCATAAGCACCTTGAACTTCAAAATAAGCCAAGACGACAACAACTGGACGTTGATGACTATTGTTTAATGACATTCTAAGAAAAAGAATAATAAACATACTATGAGTAAATAAATAAAGTAAAAACTATTAAAATCTTACCTATGTGAGCCTCCTAATAAATGTAAACACATTTCCATACAACAACTTCCCATGGCTTCAATTTGTCGTTCTAATGTATAACCGAACTGTTCAGCTGTTGAAAATAATAGTTGACGTAAATCGTACGTTAAACAGGGTATCACAAGACCCTCATCTAGACATAAAACGATAATAGTTACTAGTCTTTCAAATGGAAAACACTCCTGTCCTTCTTACAATACATCATATTATTGAAATATGTGCTATGGAAGCTGTTTACGGTCTTCTTAGTCCATCTGCAACTAATTTAATTGATAGCACTACCAAAAAAAAGTATAGCACATGTTTATTTATGCTCTACTATTCCAACAATACATGCACACTCTTGGATAGCAAACATTCGAGGACAAAACGGAATGAAAAGTTGAAGTTTAACTTATTCTAAACTGTTTTAAAAGCTTTTCATACCTGTTGTATATACTTTTGTTGTTGTCCTAGGTAATATAATTTGTTCATAAACAGGTGGATCATTATTGCCGAGTATCATTTGATCACATCGATATTTTTGTGTTTGTTGCCGAATACTGGGATGATGATAATTACTGTGATTGTGCAGATGATTTTCTCCGTTCCCGATAGCTGATTCAATTTCAGCATAAATAGCTTGTTTATCAAATAGAGCTAAATTTGTTTCAAAATCAAAATGCTTATCGTCCTGGTTATCGCTAACATCTATTTGAGTAGATCGTTTTTCAGGTGATGATGTTTGTTCAACAATCACTGATGTTTTTGTGGATGGATGAGATACAGTTGGAGGCCGCTCGTCTTGACCACCACTATCCGACCATGATTTCGATGAACGAGAACGACGAAATTGATGTTGTTGTTGACTAGTACACCGTTTAATATGATTATTAGCGGGAGGAGTTGTCTGAGATGAATAACAAGACGATTTTGAACCTAAAATTTTGACATGAACAGTTAAAATTTCGACTCAATCGATTTCTCTTCCACTTACTACTCATTCCGTTTGTTGCTACAGGCGCTGGTTTGGCTTTTGCTTCATCTCTTTGCGCTTTGACAACTTTTGGTACTTCTGGTGCATTGGTCGGATCAGCTATGAGACAGATGTCAACAATATCAGTAGCTCTAAGAACAGAGAGAGAAAAATAGCGTAAAAAAAACAGAAAAACAGAGTAGTTCAACCAAGGGGGAAATTACGAACTTTATAGACTTGAGCGGACTTCAAAGTCCTCTCAGATCTTTTAAAGTTTCCAAAGTCCGTCGACCTCAGCGGACTTTTAAGTTCAGTAAAGTCTCCGTAAGTCCTCCCAAGTCCGATCAAGTCTAAAATCCGCAATTTTTCCCTTGAGTTTAACTCAACGTACTTTATTGTAATATCTTTTGTATCACATAACATCCCATTTCTAAATGAATTTTTCAATGTTAATGTTTGTTTTTCACCATCAACCGATATGATTTGTCCTTGATAAACGCCCAATTGCTGTCCACAATCAATACTTACTGTCCAATTAATAAAATTAGCCATAAGAACAGAAGAAGTAATTTTCATAGAAAAATAAGATTAATATTTACACGAAAATAAAATAAATTAACTAATCTGCTGAAAATAGCCATGGATCTAGAATACCAACTAATCATTCAATTTTAAGAGATAATTCTTTAGATTATTTTTTCGTGCCATAAATTGTTTGAAAGTAAAATGGTAAAGAATCTGTAGAAATTTTATATAATTTATTTTATATAAGAATCTGTAGAGTCTTTTTTACTAAAAAGTTCATTATTACTTATCTCTCAAAACATATCAGCTCTTTTTTACGATATTTGAAGTCATTTTTATACTTTATCTCGTGGTTTATTTATTCAATCTAAACGTTTTGGTGTTTTATACACCTTCTTCAGTGGATAAATAATTAAGAAAACACAATTGAACGATAAGAAATATAAAGCTAAAATTCACAACATCTAAAACTTAAGACCGAGCGAGAAAGGAAAAGTAGTGAAAAACTAGTGATTCTTATCAATATCTTAATTTACGTTTTTAGATGTTGTGAATTTTAGCTTTATATTTTTTATCGTTCAATTGTTTTCTTAATTATTTATCCACTGAAGGTGTATAAAACACCAAACACATTTGGATTGAATAAATAAACTACGAGATCAAATATACAACAAACTCGTAAAAACGGCTTACAAACATTTTTTTACGACAAGAATGAAATGTTGTAGAACACCGTAGTGGATCTTCAAAATAGAAACGGTTTAGAAATACAGTGTACGTTATCAATATAAATGGATGCAATGACATTTAGGAAAATATTTGTTTCTGGAGTAAATCGGATCTAATACATAATCTATTATTTGTATTGACAGAATAAAGCTATAAAACAAAAACTATTATTTGTGATTGATTATATTATCCCTGCGATGTATTTATTCTATATAGATATCAAAAATGATCATAAAACAAAAACAAAAAAAAGATGATATAATTGCGTATACATAAGTATTTCAAAAAGAAAAAAAGTCTAAACAAAATAAAGATAAAAATTCGTGGTATGATTTGATCAACATGTCGCACAGACACGCAAACAGATAAAAAAAAATGCGACTTTATCATATTACAGGCTGTTGGAATAGTTTCCATACTGGCGTGTACAATATTTTTAACCTATAAAAAGCAGAGAACAAATTGTCTAAAAATACATACGAGAAAGAAGTTTCACTAAAGTAAAGGTACCATTTTATGGTTTAATCGTTTTTGACAATTATGTAGAATAACAAATCCTTAACGTTCAAGAAGTAAAAAGAAACAAAACAAAACAATCGCAAGAGGAGAAAGCACTGTTAGCTATATGCCAAAAACAAATTTGAGAAAAAACTTTAAGCAAGATGTACTATTAACAAGAAAAGTGATGCCTGATCACATACACACACACAAATGAATGGGTACACAATAAAATCAAGTGTCTAGTGTTAAATATATAACACCAAAATAAAACAACAAATTTGTGCAGTTTTTTATAAAGAATATATTAAGAATTTTATGGAATATAATAAAAAAACAAAACTAGCTTTTTATTTGACAATAAAAAAACAAAAAAAATCAAAAAAACATCACAAAAAGGAAAGAAAAGTCAACGGTTTCACGTATATTCTAATACAAATGACAAGTATGAATAAAAGTAGAAGATGCGTCAAAGACAGATAAACATTGAATAGAGATTGCACTAAAAAAATGGTTTCAGAAGAAGATTAGAATAGAATACTTTTTAAAATCGATAAGATTAAGTAAAGCTTAGATACTTTTATAATGAATTTTATTTTTTACAGATATTAGAGAACGTTTCGAGTTCTCATGGATTTGACAATATCTGTCATTCTGCTTATGATATAACTTATGTCTAGCCAGCTTCTTACTTACCACACCTTTCAGTTCATCGAATAGATGCTATGCATATATCACGATATATTCTTTTTATTTTTCGTTCTCAATAAACAACATTTCTGTCAGCTATTTTTTCGCATTATGAGTAGGGATAATCTAACATAAGCAGCATAAATTTTGTTTTCAAAGAAAATCATGACAGCGTAGTCAGTTAACTATACTACCATAGTGAAATTCTGTGACGAAATGTAACGCTTTATTCTTTTTCTAGTTTTTTAATGAAATAACTGTCAGAGTTGTGTAACATATACAACGGGCGAGCAAACTTTTCTGAATTAAGTGACATGTGTCTGAATTCTGTGTGATCTTTTGTTTAGGTAATACAAAGAAAATACGGAATACCCTTTTCTAACTTTAATTAAAAAAAGTAGCGTTTAGTATTTCCTTGGTATTGCCTAAACAAAAGATCACACAGAATCCGGACATATGTCACTTAATTCAGAAACGTTTTCTCGATCGTTGAATATGTTGCACAGCTCCGACAGTTGTTTCATTAAAAAAGTAGAAGAATAAAATGCCACAATTTCATCATGGAATTTCACTACGGTACCAAAGTTACGTGGTCACGCCGATGAGTTACGCTCTGTGCAAAACATGGATGAAGGTCTAGTTCACGTTAAAAGGAAGAAAAAATGAGTTGGTGAGAGAGAAATTAATGTAATCAAAGACAAAAATGCTTACTAAGTGGAAAATCTAACTTAAATGTTTAACTGCTACTTAATTTAACTCAAATTTTTTCATATTCATTGAAAGTCGACTATGTCATATGCAAATAGTCCATTGCAAAGAAGATTGAATTAGGAAAATAACTAACTACTCTTCTTGTTTCTTATACACCGTCATACAGTAATATAAAAACAAATTTTTATTATAAATACCACAAGGTAACCAAAACTATCTTCTAATTTCAACAATCATCCTCTCAAAATAAAGAGAAACAATTCTTGCTTTCTTTTCACACATATCTTTTTGTATCGAAAACAAGAAAGCAACAATAACATTATGTACAAGTATAAAAAAAGAAAAAGAATCAAAAGGAAGTTCAAATATATGTGCTTCTTCAAAAAACAACAACACCTATTTACAAAAATAAAATATATTTACATAAGAAAGAGATATGAGAGGTTTTCATAGCCTCATTTTTCTTTCAATGGACATCGGGATATTAAAAATAAAGTAAACAGAGAATTTGAACAGCAATAAAAAAAGAGTTTGCTGTTATGATAAAGTACAAGTTGTTCTTGAATTTTTCACATTTGTCGTTCTTGTTGATAAAATTGTTGCAGAAGTAGAAGTATTATTATTATTATTCGAATCATTATCATCATTCATATCTTGATTCATTGCATGAATACATTTGACAAAGATATCATCAACACCCTAGAGTCATACGATCAAATGAAGTTTATTTATGCTATGATAAGCAGAAAATATCAATCCTAACGGACGATGTTAATACATTTAAAAATTAAAGAGATCAAAAATTCATCTTACGAACATGAATAATGTTCGCTCAAAAAATAGACACTACTTTGAGTAATCATGTTATATGATTACTCTCGGTTAGTGACTTCCATTTTTGAAAACTTTACTAATTTGTCTTTGAATGAAAGTTCGAAAACTATTTATAAATTACTTACAGCTTTATCTTTAGCTGATGTTTCAATAAATTCGACACCAAAGCCTGTCGCTAATTTTAGACCTTGTTCCGCCGTTATAACACTAAAAAAAAGCAAAAGATTACAACACGACTTTTTAACGTATTTATGCAACGACAAAAATATCCGTTTTAGTAGATTTAACAGTTACTTCCATAAGTACTACTTTGTATGACTAGAGACATTAGCAAGATTTTATAAGGGAACACAAATCACAAAAGACCTTGAATCTATAACTTCAGTTGATCTTAATCTAAGTTTGAGAGATATTCAAGTATGTTCACTTATTTTAAATAAAAAGTGTATCATAAAACATTGTAAATACTCTATCTCAAGAACTTAATGACGACAATACCAAAAATTAGATTAAAAAAATAGAGAATACTTCTTTTTCATATATTTTCGAAAAATCAAAATCGGTTCTTGAAAATATCCGTATAAATGCAACAAATACGTCAGTCGACACATTATTCATTGCCAGTCTAAGATAACTCTGACGTAGTCCAAAGTTGATACTTTTTACGATACACTCTTATTCTAAAATTTGACTAAGTACTCACAGAAGTGTACATCTAGATTTAAGTAATATTTCAGATTTTTATGAGACAGTTCCCGAATCTTCCTGATGTAATTACTAAAGATCTATGAATGCTATTTTGTCTTACCGACAAATAGTACGATCAGTTTTATTCCCAACAATAACAAGCGGTACTCTAAACAGAAAAGCGAAGATAAAATTCATTAAAAGTCATTCTTACTGCGATTAATAGTCAAACCTTGAACTAGTACTATTGCTAATGATTTTCTCTCTTATTATTGGTACCATATCAAAACTAACAAAAGTACAACAAAGAAATTAGAACGAAATTAATGTTTTGACCACTGCTAATAACCTTGCTTTATCATCAATAGAATAGACAATTATATATGAATCACTATTATGAAATTCACTATGATTTATTGTGTAAGGATCAGCGCCAGCATTATCAACAACCAACAAATCATATTCTTGTCCATGAACAACACAAGAATGACGAATCTCTATAAATAGACATCAATTATCTAGACTGAGCTCAAATAGATAAAAGAAGAGTAAGACAGCAAATTTGAGATCTCAGCCTATGATGTAAATTTATACAACGAAAGTATTGTATATGTAAACAAATACATATCTATCTGTACGAGCTAAAAGAATGAACTTACGACTTTCAACATTTGGATAATATTCTTTAAAAAATGTTTTATAAACAAATTGTCCAACAAGTGTTGATTTCCCAACTCCCGGATAACCCAGTAAAGAAATTTGCCTATGACGTTTCATATTATGAGTAAAGAAGAAAGAAAAGAAACAATAAGCAACAATTATTTGCTAAATATATAAAATCTAAAATCGTTTGGTGTATTGAAGAACAACAGTTGAACAGGACAGAATAATATATATTGTAATAATAATATATTGCAACAATATCAAGTACTTTTCGTCTTCATTTTCAATAAAACAGCTGTGGAGTTAATAAACTGACATAAAATAGTTTTTCATATCTCATGTTAGATTATTTTTGTCAAAAAAAGACTATGTTCTTAACGATCGGCACAAACAACTAAAATGGCAACAAACATAAATATATGTAAAAAAAATTATTTCGACTCACGAGACAACATTCTCAAGTGATCCATCCTGATTCGGCTAAGATTTTTCTGGTCGATAGGAGTCATTGATCCAATAAAAACCCTACAAGAATTTGTACCCATGCGGCTCCTTCCCGAGTTATGATCAATTTAGTAAAACTCATGTTTTTGTTATTTCTACTATAAGTGACTATTCAGACATGCTGGACAGTTGAAATGCAGTAAAAATTATAGACTTTAGCCTTTTGTTCTTGATGAAAAATCGAATTTTTATTTTTTTTCATGAGATTTCGTCACTGACTTGCAACCTACAAGTCATGAGAAAGAATTTAATCGTCTAATTAAACAGTGCTAAAACTTAGAAAATATTCTAGTAAAGATAAACAAACAATTTTACGAACTTATGAATATTAAAACAGGCTTAGTTTACTGCATAGAAATTATACTTAGGACTATCACTGCTACGAGTTTCAGTTGTCCAGCATGTTTGAAGAGTCAGTTATAGTGAAAATACACAAAACTTGAATTTTACTAAATCGATCATAACTCGGGAAGGAAGCCGCATGAGCACAAATCCTCTTAGGATTTTTATTAGATCAATGAGCCTTCTTGATCAGAAAAAATATTAGTCGAATTAGGGATGAATCACTTGAGAAGGGATAGATTTTCTCGTCAGAAAATAAGTAACATAAATTTATATAACTCATAATAAAAATACAGAAGTAATCATTAACAAAAAGAAAATAACAAAAAGAAAAAACACAATTAGCGGCCGAAACATACTATTTTGCATTTCGTATTCATATTGAGATAAAAGAAAAAACAAAAACTCTGATTCGATTTCATACTAGGCGCACGTATATGTTTTTTTTTGATTTAGCTATTTTTAAAAAAAATAAATAGATAAATAAAGCTATATTAGATAAAAAGAACTACAGTTCATTTCTAAATGTATACCGCCACCTACTAGGTCCCAAATGAACGAAAACACTTTCTGGTGGGCTCGTCTTTTGTTGTTGAATGAATTGGTGAGCATCAGATGAAGATGATGAGACTTTTAATAGATCTGGTGATTTCGGTAAATGTGGAGTATCACCACCCTCTGCTTCAACCTAAAAGGAGAGGAGAATCAATAAGCGTTAATCGAATTCATATGTCAAATCTGTATAGGGACATATGCAAAGTTCAAAAGTGAAAATATTACTCATGGTAACTTATTGGATGAACAAATCTTACGTGTTTTTCTACATTTGCTGAGGATATAGTTGTCTCTGGTTCTTTGGTTGGTGGTGGTGGATTATGAAAATCTTGATGTAATTTACCACTATGGAGATTTTGAACAAATTCTAATAGTTTACCGGGTGTACTAAAACGGCTTAATGTAATTAATGTAATTTGAACCAGGAAAAAAAAGCAGATACTTACGCTAAATCTTTGATATTTGGAAATAAAAACATGTGTCTAAAACTATCGATTGTTAACAATGGCAAATCGGCTGTTGATTTTCCCAAATGTTGGATTGGATGTACAAATTTTTGTCCATCAGCATGTAGACAATTGATTGTAGCTAAAGTAAAGAGAGAGATTCTAAATGTCAGCAGAATTACTATCAATTTACTTACCTCTGTGATGCATCAGTTGTTTAGCCACTTCATGTTCGAAATCAGCAACAGTTTGATGATCATTTTGATCATGAAATAATATCAAAAATGGTAGTCCTTCATCGGTTAATTCTTCAGCATTCTCAAATGTAATTTCTCTCACTAAAGGTACACATTTCTCATTTGCCCATGCATACAATGCTTCATGACTATTAATTGGACCCATATAAAATACATCTTTTTGAGTTAATGTCTAATACAGAAATCCACATAACGATTAACAATGACATCTGCTAAGAGATAAGAGGTACACGTTTTGAAGAAATAGTTCCCGACTCAGAAGAAAAGGACAATCTCCTAGTGCATTACAAAAAAGTCGAGTGTGTCAAACATTTATTGAAAGACAAAATATTTAAGAAAGCAAAAAAAAATAAAACTACTGTTACCTGTGGAGGTCGATAATAGATAGCATCCCCAGACGGTCTTTCGTCTTTATAATCATCACTAAAACAAACGTAAACATTACCAATAGTACAACAGACTTTGAATAGTTCTCTACGCAAAAAAAGTCACTATACACAGTTCTCCATCAGGTTATTGAAAGGTAACACTTTTTACTGAGATAAACCGTGCTTGGCGTACGTTCAGATAGAAGAAGTATGCAGCAGCATTACTTTCAGAATAATAAATATAATAACGTTAACCAAGAACCGAAAAACTGAAATTCAGTATTGTACAGATCGTTAACAAAAAATATAGTTGAAAAAACCAAGGCTTATACTAGTAAGCAGATAAAATAAAACAAAACAATAAAGTAAACAGATGTTGTCCACAAATGCATAAAAAGTCATCTCAAATCCTTCAGATATATCATCTCGATACAGGCATTGTATCTGCAAAGAAAAACTTGGTCTTACGCTCAAAATCATTTCTGATCCAGCCAATTTAAAACTAAGTAAGTTTACTAATTACACTAGAAAAAATAGATTTACTTTTACAGTTTAATAACACTAAGCTCATGTGTTCGAGCCTCTATTCGTACAACTTTGATTTTGTATTCTTCAATAGTTTTAGCTTAGAATACAATAGCGGTTGTTTGCCGTTCATATTCTTAAAGAATAAAGCGTATATCAAATGTATGTTGTAGTAGTAACACTCTTTTCAAATGTACAATATTTCTACGTTCAGATGTAAAATAGAATTTTGCTGTAAATTTTTGTTATTGCACAGACTACAACCCTTCAACTCTATTAAGTAAACTTAATATCAACTCTATAAGAGTAAAAGCCAAATTCAGTGCCGTTAATTGGATCATATAGCTAGAGAAAAGAATAATCTTCTAAGGAAATTACCAACCTTCCTGTTGACGCAGCAAAATTACATTCATCTCTTAGTAAACTGGCTACTTTTGCGAATATCTGATAATTTTCACTCTGTTCATTCTCATAATGTCCAATAATATAACGTTTATTAATCTATCAACAAATAAAAACAATCAGAAATAGTGAAAGAAGATCCAAAACAAGCCTACTTACAACAAGGTTATGGAGATCGTCTTTTGTGTGAAGTTTAATGATAGACGAGTCAACTTGTTTCTTAATAAATTCAAATAGTGGATCGACCTGTCTAAAGGAGGAGAAGCAGTGTAATTGAGCTTTTAATGATCTAGAAGAATAAGAAAAACGTCACTTACCTTGCTCCTCTATATTCTTTTTTTGTCATCACACCATGTCTATACATTTTCAATGTTGGATATTTATTTACATGATATTTTGTAGCAATAGCATCTTTAAAGAAAAACAAGCACAAACTAAAATACATCCTATTCTTATGAGATTCGTTCACATACTTTCTGAATCACAGTCAACTTTTCCAATAACAACAAGTCCAGGTTGCTAAAACAAATTCAAATGTTAATCAGAATATTTATAACTTCAGGAACTTTACATCAGGGCTGGACAACCCCGGCATTTTCAACTCCAACTTCAATTCTTTTTTTTCTGTGCTTAAAAAAACCACTTAGAAAATGACTAGAATAAGTCGAAATTGCATTTCAGTCGAGTCGAGTCAACTATGAAAACATATTTTTTGTTAATCTGTTCCTTTGTGATCTCACTAAAAGCTCGCCCTGAGAAAAATACGCTCAATCAGAGCATTGATAATTGATACGTACAACAGTTTCGTAGCTAATTTATACGAAGACGAGGATAGGATATGCACTTTTATCGCAAATAAGTGCACATTTATCACCCTTTTTTTTGAAAACTAACAATTTGTCTCTAAATATCGTTTTGAATATTCAGTGTTTTTTTACTTTTTTGTGAGCAATAGTTGAAAAGCGTTTTTCATTTTTGTCCTAAATCACTTCCATCCGAACTACCATATTTACTCTCATTAGTTGCAACCTCAATTACCTGACTACTGTCAACTAGCTGTACCGCGACAACAGAAATAGCCTTATTGATTCTCTCACAAGGACTGATTTTTGCGGTATCTGAGGGTTTTGATAAAAAAAGCCATTTTAATCTGAACTGTTCGTTGAGAAATGGCGCAAAAAAATTACCCGCCTCCGACGTAACCGGCGGATCACTGAACGATGCTACCATGTTTTAGGCACTAGATGATGTTTAAATTTATTCGATATCTGAAGATGGTTTTGACAAAGAGAAAGAAAACATAAGTTTGAGTGATATAGCACGTGGTAAATTTTTGTCTTTTCTGGTGTGTATGTGGGCACATAAACAAACTCAACCTCTACATACTTGCACTTAGACGTGTTTCTATTTTTGTCTGTTCATCTCGTATGAACTGATCACAGACTGTGGATCACATGTGAGAGAACTGGTTAAAATTTGTTTTATTTTCTCGCTTTTTCGTTTCTCTTCGGAGTTAGAAAAAAGGGTCAAGTCTAACTCCGATCAAAAAACAAACCCAATTTCGAAGTTGGAGTTGTCCATCCCTGCTTCACATAAAATACGACGACTAATTAAACAGCAAAGTGACAGGTTTAACTCAAGTTTTTCTAATTAAAAATGGCATTAGCTATATTATCAAATTGTGTAAAAGGCTTGATGCATAGCCTGGAAGGGTAGAGACGTATACATACTGGAAATTCTTTAGCAACTTTATCAGCGAAATCATCATAAATAGGATTTAGCATTTGACTAAATCGGCACCTAAACAATCAAATGAATATTATTAGAACCTAGACAGAAAAAGGCGAAAGAAAGTCTTACTTACCAATTCGCGTAGAAATTAAGAAAAACAACTTGATTACTGGCTAAATCAAATTAAAAAAATAAACTATAATAACTGCAGTTCCTAGAAGATCGTAAGTTACAAAGTGCGGAAACTGGATCACCGAACTGTCTAGCAAATAAAACTTGTTTCTCATCCCACTACATGTTCATTAGTAAAAATGAGATGTTCTTTCGATTTAAACATAGAAAACAAAAGTTAATTCTGTCTCCAGCAGTTTTACTCAAAATCATTATGTAAAATAATTGAACGTTATGGGCTGCTAAAACTTTTCTGAAAGGTTCAGAGAATAATTTCAACGGATACCTCTACATTTACTATAAAAAACAAGAAATATCTCTTACACAGAATACTGTCGACATTTGCACTCGTAATTTGTACTGCGCCACTGTACACTCGCCATACGGAGCAGCAGAGCTAGATAGTAAAACAAAATTTTTATTAGTATAAGTCTACAAGAGATTAGAACGGGATATTTACTGTAACGATTAATGCTATTAGAGAACGACGATATAAACCTGAAGTCCAACACATGAAAATAACGAAGACAAAGGCAGACAGACGTAATCTAGAACAAAACTTGTTACGACAAAGCAGCTAAATAAACAAGATAGCTGTTTTCCCCTTCTGTACAAAATCTTTTTTATACTGCGCACTGCGTTATGTTGGAAACAGGTGGAAGATACCACTGTATCTTTTTTATTCATATGGAAGCAAAGTCACGATGAACAAACTAACAAAGTCAAATAAAACATGAGAGCACTGGCAACTGCAGGAATCAATATAAATTTAAAAAATATGTTGTCCATCTATTAGTGTAATAGATTACCACTTATCAAGATTCATCAAAGCTGACTACCAACGAAAATTGACTACGTGAAGTTATCACCAATTGGTTTACAGCCAACTTAGCACACACGTTAAAACTTAGATGTGATTCTTCGAAACTTTATCAAGTTTCGTTCGTTTATTACTGTCTTAGAAACCACTAGATATAGACAATTTTTCACGGTAAACAATTGTAGAAGTTCATAAAATCATAGAGGAAAAAATAATAGAAAAACAAGATGGCTATGTCTTGCTTATTATAAACTCGTGGATGATTTGCTATCATCTGAATCATTCTCAAGTCCATGAACTCAAGTCAAACACAGCCCCGCTTTACTGTGAAATAATAAATATCTCACGAGCTCTAACTAGTCGAGACAAATGATTCAAGCCCGTATCTGATTAGCACAAAATAGTGTAACAGACAACACTGCTGGAAAGAGCATTAATTGGGAAGATTGACTAAATATGAGTCTTCTTATCAGCATTCTGAGCTCAACCAAATACAGATCCCGCTCTACTGTGAAATAATAAATATCTCATGAGCTCTAACTGATGATCACAGGAATACTAGT